GATTTTAAATTAAAACACGCCTTAATGTCTTTATCATTTATGAAATTAAAGCATCCTTTATTAATAAACTAAAAAATAAAACATGTTCATAATAAAACATACCTAGATATGTAAATGAGTCATTTTTTTATAAAGATGTAAGAAATATGTATGTAAAAAAGTTCTTAATAATTTCTTGGAAAATAAATATGAAACCAATTAGTAATTTACAACTTGAACTCTCAGTTCCTGTAACAATTATATGAGCGGCAATGTAAGGGTTATTAAATCATAAAACGATAATCAAGCGTGGCTTGTTGGGCGCCATCACCTCGCTTTATGACGTCACTGTAGAGTCATAAATGTATAAAATAAAAGTTGGAAGCGTGAACAAACCAATAGATAATGAACTTTTATTGGTCAGCTGGTCCCTCGGCCATTGTAAAGGGCACATCGTAAATGGTAGCGTTCATGCAATCGCCTCGGGCCTTGCATCGTATACAGGTTGTTTAACAAATAGAAAAATGAAACCAAGGGTGTGCTTACAATCGTATCTGTGTTAATTAAATTTTTGAATTATTTATAGTTTCAATCGAAGTAATAAATACAGTTTGCTGAGACCAAATCAAGATTTCCTAGAAACTATTGAGCTTCCGCCTTCGTTATCAGATCAGCGCGATGGAACTACATTGTTGCAGTGTCATTAGAATTAAATAAATGTTACAACTTATAGGCACTTAATCTACCGGTTAGATTATCAAACGGTTACATCTAGAGTTCGGTTCAAGGCAAAGTATTAGAGTGAATTTCAAAATGATTGTAGAACATTTTTGTTTGAACAAAAGCTAAAAGTGAGATGAAAGGCTTAAAAGATCTCTTTTAGGAATTATACAAAAATTCTGCATTATGTTGACTAATCTTTTAAGACGTTTAATGGTCGGTTTCCCAGGTACTTTTAACCATTCGTGAGTGTTCTTGATTCAATAAATTCATGAAAGGCGTTTCCGAACTTCGTGTAGTTTTATTCCGTTGATTCATTAACGCTAGGTCGACCTAATGTTTCAACCTATGTTTTTTTATTAAATAAATGGAAATTTCAAAAATGTAATAAATGTAAATGTAAAGTATAACTAACACTCAAATTATCAAACTGTAGCTTTAGTTAAGCGCTGCGGCTATTAAAAGTTAGATAATTGAAGCAGAGTTTTCCTACAAGCGTGTGTTTAGGATATACAAACAATGGGAACTATACTGTTGCGTGGAAACAGTCGTAAGTTAACTGGAACACTTGCAACTTTATTGATTGCAGCAATTATTGTAAAGTGACTATTAAGTAGGCAGTTTCGATAGATAGTGGGGCTTGTTTATTGCTTTTACTGCGGTCCCGGTTCCATTGCCTCATCCGACAATTAATAATTGTTGTGGAGAACGATATTTCTTGTTTGTCGTTCGATATGAATTGGTCGCGTGATTTTATAATAGGGGTTAACTTGATAACCGTTTATGTAAGGGGTTGGTTTTAGTTTGTACGCAGACGTATTTATTATTCAACTTGTGACAACTTTCGACTATAAATTTAAATATTTGAATCTTGTTTAAAATATTACAAGCTTTTAAGAGTTATACAGATTAAATAAAAAAAAAACAATATGCGGTTTAAAACCCACAAATAAGAGGTCAATGAACAAGGGGTAACATTGACGACTATTTATCCATCATGTACATTTTCTAGAATTTTCTATTTTGTAATACTTTACTAAAAATTATGATGAAATATATCTTGATCGAAACCAAATGTAAGCTGAAACGTTAAAATAATTGAATTAGAAAATAGATAATCATTTCTATCTCGGTTTTCTAACAGGAATAACGAAGTACGTAGGAGCTAAGATGCCTTAGCAGGCGAGCGGAGTCGTGTTCAGCCAGGGCAAGCCGGGTGAGGAGATAGTATCGACATGCACGAATGTCCCAGCTAACGAAACTCCGCTTTGTATGGCGAGATGCAGTATATAATGAACTTCAATTTATACCTTACTGGGTGATCCAGATTGTTTTCTAAATCCCACTAGAAGTATATTTTTTTTTTTAAACCAACTTTTTTTTTTTTAAATCTATCGTTGCAGAACAAATGAAAATGAATACTTAAAATATAGCCAACTAATAATTTAATTAAGTTATGTTAAAGCCATTTGATTGTAATTTTACTGCGTCGTTTGTATAATTTAAAGATCAAATCGATTAAAATCTTAAATCAATATAGAAAAAAAACGGTTTTGATTTCCGACAATTAACAATTTTGTAGGAATTCGATAAAGATCTTTAATTTTTGAGGTTTATTTTAAAGCTAAATAATCAATTTCCTTAATGTTGGTAATAAATTAATTTAAGTTAGAATTTTAAGTGTTAAAAACAGTTAACTTCTTTTGGAATATTAACGCAATATGTAGAGTTTAAAATATAGTAACTATTTAAGAGATTTATGATTAACAGGTGAGGTTTGTAGCAGCTTATTTCGATAAGCGTCTTTAAAATGGAATTAATTAAATTGGAAAATTTAAACCATAATTCCACCAAACAACCACATATAAGTATGAAAAATTCATCATCATCATACTTCAATTCAGCATCGTAAACTTCTCTGCAATTAATCTTTGAGTAAGAAAACATTTTTTAAATAACAGTTAAAAAATTTCAAACCATAAATACCATCGCATGAACTCGCGTTGTCTCCACATAAGAAAGGAGATCTCTAAGTACAGGCGAGGTCGGCCGTAGTTGGTACATAATGACATACGGGCCTCCACTCGCCGCCCGCGCCTCGTACCCATCCACTCCTTTTATTACAATCGAACAGGTTTCAAACAGGAGCCATATAAAAATGCAATATTTTAATAAGAAACGACCACTGAATATAAATCAACACGATAAATAAAAATACCCACTCGGCACTCACTGATTAATACGTCATGCATAATTCAAATGCCCTAATTAAGAACGCTCCTTTATGTATAAAATCAACAGTAAAAGCAATTATAGAAATAAATCTCCTTTGACGGATTTTAAACGTTTTATAGTGCCTAGATATGTCACTGCTGTATTTATTGTTATGAGGAAGAATTTTAGATTACATTTAAAATTCAGGATTGTGTTAAGGTCATCTTTAACGACCCTTAATTTATTAAGTAATTGTTGTTCCTGTTCCTTAATCTTAAAGTAAAATATTTTCACGTTCCTTAAATAAAAAAAAGGTTGTCGTAACTGTCTACAATGTCTAATCCATTTACCTAGCGCGTTATTTAATGAAGTATAATAAATAAACAGGAGATAATATATCAATGCGTGTTCACTAATGTACGGGACATTAAAATACTTGTTTGTATGTATATTTAACGTATTTTAATATGACATCAAGCGACTGAAGAGACGTGTAACTTTATTGATATTTAATAATTAATCAATATATGTATAAAAATCTAGTATCAATAAATAAAATTAATAGTATATAAGTGGTAATTATGTATAATTTACTTTAATTCAAATCAACTTAGATTCATTAGGTGTAAGCGAAAAAAAAAAGATGACCGAAAACTTGATAAAAATTGAGTCGTTAAAACATCGCCTCGTGATACGAACGATACGAAAGCAACCAATAATTTTTCGTACAGACTAAACATCCGATGTCTCAGAATCGACCGGGGTCGTGGACCCTAAAGATGGCGGACGGGAGGGCCAGCAAAAAAACTATACTTGCCGCTACCCACTTTCTGCATTTCTACTTCATTGGCTTACTTATATTTGATAAATACGATAGAGTAGGTTAATAATCAAATTGTCTATCGTTGTTTCTCATCGTAATAGACAAGTAGATTTACATATTTGTAGGTATTTGGATATAATGATGACATTTATGATAGAAATTAAAACGAAATAGCCAATAACGCTAATGAGTAAATAAAGAGATATATATGTGATAATTTACATAATCTGTGGTAAAAAAAAAAGATTAAAGACTGTTAAAACAAGAATTTTATTTCACGAAATTAAGTCACAAAACGATTTGATTTAAAATTAAAATTAGTTAAGTTATTCTAATAGATTCCCGAAGTCTAAAAACTGTTTCGTAAATATGTTGATACAAGGCTTTAGTTCGTGTTATACAATATTATATGTGTTTTCTATTCAATCTACATGTAACTGTACACGATTGAGTTAATTATAAACTATAAATAGAGGGAATAATTATGTGCGTTTGTACGTTTACGCAGAAATCTCGCAAAAGGAATCCGCCGCCGCGGCAGAGAATTGAGATTTCAAATCGATTTGGATGGTATCCCGATCGGCATTTTTTACATCCCGCGGGTCTTAAGAAATGAGGCTTAAATCCTAATTTAACGAGTTGACACGCACATACGAAGGGAGCTATTCAGCATTTCTCGACGTCAATAACATGGCCAAATACGTCGAATGGCATTTGTGGATATTTCTTCTACCGACCTTACGCCGGTCGGAGACCGTGGAATTTAGTTTTTAGTTACTCTTTGACCGTTTCGTTACCATAATCGGCGTCTGAGATGAAACAGACTATAGTTGATTTAATTAATAGACGTTCTCTCAAACCATTCGGAGTTAAAGTCGATGAAGTCATTATACATGCTTACGAAATATAAAGCCTCCTTCGAATCGTGATCGTTTTTTACAGTCCAATTGAACACAGCTGGGATTATCATAACACCGGTTTAAATTAATCAATCATAAAAAATCTCGGTGTTCACTTGCAGTAATCAGCTAGAAATACCACGATAACTTAGTAAAATGCTGTACAGTGCCGAAGCGGAGACGGTCGGAAAAGATCAAAGGTGCATTCGTTTTAGCGAATTGAAACATTGTAAGCAGTTAAACCATAGAAGTCTCGCTTGGGCGATTTCAAAAATGGCGTCGCACGTCGGTTGGTGACGACGAGTCGGTTTTTCGCAACCGTCTCCACTCGATAAATAATGCCGCTGACTTTGACAAAAACTCACCTAGTCTTGTTCGGTGGCCGGCGGCGCGCGCCCCTCTGCCCCGCCGCTGCCGCGCTCTCCTGTGCCTTTTTCTGCCCATTCCACGGCGCCGGCGCAATCGCGAACCGCTCACTTCCATACCCTAACTATTTACACCGCTAACGTCTAAAATAATACCTACTTATAATTATGGCAATTTGTTTAACTTCACCGACTATTAAAATTGCAGGAACACGATCACGTTTACACTAAACTTATGCGAGAGTATTGATTGATAAGATGGCGCGGAAGATTAACGTTTCGCACAAGGCCAGTAAACTTAGACTCTTTCTTACTTAGCTTTAATTAAGGTTAGGAGACCGGGTCTCTTTGGTAGGCATATTAAATTTGTACAATGCGACAGTTCGTCTCGCGGAGCACCGCGCCGGGCCGCGGGCGAACGGAACATAACGCGCACTACGATACACCTACTCTATACACGGAAGAGATTTCTACAAATTGCACTGATTTCCGATCGCGAACATCTACGATAGCGCGAATTAAAACATTTTTAAAGAATCAATAAATCAACAAAGAAAAACTACAGAATCAAAGAAATAATAATTAAACAAAACCCGAAACACAAAAAACGACCCGTTTGTATTCTAACGTTCAAAAGTTTGTTTGGCGGGAACGTTGAGTCCATTCGTTGGAACTGATTCTTTTAAAAATAATCACAACAACCGAACAACACTTAAATAACGTGAAATAATTACAAACAATTTACAAACACAAAGCTACAGTGTCCGTATCGAGATGTTGATCTCAGCCGCCTAATGGTCGGGGTGGCCCTGTGCCGCCGCCGCCGCTGCTGCGGCCGCCGCTGCCTTCTGCGCCTGCGCTTGCTTCTCCTGCTCGTTCAACTCCTTTATCGCTTGTATCTCTTTCTTTAATTTCATTCTTCGATTCTGGAACCAGATTTTAATCTGTCTCTCCGTGAGGCAGAGTGCATGCGCCATCTCTATGCGTCTCCTTCGCGTGAGGTAGTGGTTCGTGTGGAACTCTTTCTCTAATTCTAGCGTCTGATATCTGGTATAGGTTTGTCTTCCCCGCCTCCGTAGTCCGTTCGCTCCTGTAACAATAAAAATTATCAATTAGATAAAGTCTAAGAATGTCGATACCAGAAAAAGAACCTTCAACAAGATCTGTGCTGTCGGCGCATTTCAAGCATTTGAATGTTGAATGGGCGAGGTTGTCTCGAAAGTCTTAGTCGAGATGGCGGTACAATCGCTCGTGACGACGGCTTCATTTCGCTCAGACGTCGATGTTGATAAACGGCGCCGGCGTTAGCCTTTGGCGCGCCGCTAGCGACCAGCGGAATTAATACGCCACGCGAAACTGATTAATATTGCTTAGGTATGTAGTGCGCGCAATAACTAAGTGTACACAACATTAAACGGAACTCTTAATTGCGACACAGATCGTTCCTAAATATATTTTTTAAAATATTTAATTAGTTTTAATGTTACTGTTTATAATGTCAATCGAGCATCACCCATAAAACATTTTTGTAATATCCAACTTACTATAGGTACAACAAATTCGTAAAGGCAGTGATACCTATAATCAAAAAGTTGAATAAAGTCGTAATTCCCTTGACGGAGTTAATTCTGCATTGCCGAACTGAGCTTTAATGAAATACAAAATAAAAATCGATCGGCAAATTTGGTTAATTGGCGCTCAAAAATCCAATCTCGGCGCAGTTTCTTAACGCAATTCAAAACGAGTACGACAACCCTGTCGGACCGAAACCCGCGGCGATGCGGGCTATGTACCGGAGGCAACTTGCGTGCTCTTAATGTATAGCTCCGCAGACTCACGCTGAGATCCTTTCTTTCTTTTTTTTTGGGTGTCAAGATCGCCGGGCTACATAACGGGTGACCAATCAATGCATTTATTTCGCAAGATCAATTTCTTTGGTGCACTTTAAAAGTAATATGCATAATGAGTTCGGAGAAAAAGATTATGTAGCTGCTCATGTTTACTTCAATTAAAATTTCACTTAAAGGTTACTCTTGTGGAGGGAAAGTTGATTACACAGTACGGTTTTTAACTCCTTTTATTTTAATGATAGCTTTCGCCTAGTAGTCAGTATCTTTAATTTCTATGTTTTTTTACAAATATTTTATTACACAAGTGAGAAACGATCTGCTTATCCGATAATTTATATGATGAAGTCAAAAATATTAAATCATACACTAGACTTAAAATAAATTCATTCCCGTATTTTTATCTTAACTAATTCAAACAGATTTTAATGCGAAGTGTTTATACATAAAGATAATAAATACAATTTAATCGTTGGTGCGTTACAAGAAAGAGCTTCATTTGTCCATGTCGAACTGAACTTTGTGTGGTTTAAGGCACTCGAAAGCATCGGGCCGGTAATAAGACTGATACGAAAATAATTCGGTTTCATTTGGAGCGCACTTCTCACACTGTGAAAGGGGTTACCAACCAATTTAATGGCTTAATTATCTCAAGTACGGAGATCGGGCCGACATTAAGGGGCACGGCTCTCTGATGCCGCCTTATCTATGCTCGTATATTGAAAAACACTTCAATGGCGTCGTGAGACTAACTATAACTGTTTTACAATATAAACAAATAGTTACTGCTTTAGAAGCTCTAACCTCTGTAGGATATTTATACTAATAGCTGTTAACATTTTTATTAAAGTTATAAGCAGGATCTGAAATATGCAGTAACAAAAATAACATACAGACGTATTGAGAACCTCCTCCTTTTAGAAGTAAGTTAAAAAGAGAATTAGACGTCATGTCGTATCAATAACTTGAAAGGTAAAATGATGTAACTTCTTCGTCGCTTAAATCTTTAGACTGATTGAGATCGCAAGTATTAGTAACTTATTTTAAAAAGGATATATATAATTTATTAATTATAATAAAATTAAATTGTGGTGAGATACCCAACGTGCCTTCTCAAGCTTTCTCCCTGACCGAAATATCTTAAGAAGCGAATTTTTCTTTTATCCCCTCCATAATTAGTGTCTTCCTCACACCGGGGCTAAGTGCAACCTTTTTAATAATTAACAAAAATTCTTCAAGCTTCTGTATAGTGGGTAATTGAGTGACTCTAATTACCTAAGCCATAAAAGCCTTCCGGGCATGCGACGTAAGTACTGTAGGACCTTTTCCTTGTGTACTGCGCAGGTCGCTAAGCGATTACACTGTCCAGTTATTTATGTTGATTAACCAGCGTTTGCAAAGGGAACCTTAAATGCAATTGTTTAATTAATAAATAAATAACGAATCGCGGCTGAAGATAATGCTTGAGTTATAACTGTTTGTCGAAACGTGACAACGGTAAAAGGTTGATAACAAAACTCATTAAGAAGTGTTACGAAACAAGACGTACGAGTACGAGGTGAACAACTTTCTTATTTCTATATAAATTTAATTAAAGCTAGACGAGACTAAGAGAAATCTACACCACCCTTTATTTTTACGATAAACAACCACCTAGAAAAATAATTACTGTATCAAATCCCAAATCTAAAAGAGTAGTTTTTTATAAAGTTTACCACACAACTGTAAACATTGTGGGATAGTATTTTGTACTTTTTGTTTGGCCCGTTCAGATTGGCCATGTAGAAAGAAGTTCTTGATTCAATTGAGATTCTAATATAAAATTACATACATCAAACATAACAAAATATGTGTCAGTGTCTTGTTTTATGTTCAAAAAAATACAGTTTCTTTTATCGTTTTCGAAAAGTTACTTTCTTTTTGTAGATAATCATCAAGACAACTAAAAGAAAAGAATCAGTTCTTGTCGGCCCAATTAAGAGCAAACTTACTCTTTAAACTTCCTGTCCCGATCAATTAAAACGGATTCATTAAAAAGTTACGGTCATATCAGATCAACGAAACGTGGCCGGGGAAATGCAAACAATTATTCGTGTAGCGACGTCAAAAAAAATATCTCGGAAGCAGCTTCAGACGCCACATGTGCCAACTAATTAAGAGGCCATAATTTCAGTGTCAATTTGCGCGTTGTAAATTCACCACAAAATCCGGAGTACGCCATAAAAGCAATAAACATGACGCAAATGACTTCATTAAGGCTGTAGGCGGGGCTCGCGGATAGCAAAAAATATGTGTAGTGTCAGGGACAGGCCTTAATAGCTATGTAATGACTTCAAACGTTTCCGAGAGACGAAAATCTGAGATGTCATTGGACGTGACGCGGCGCTGTTCCGGAACATTTGGAGTCACGCTGACGATTTTGAGGGGTGTCGAGGTTAAATGTTATCCTACGTTTCATTCTCATTTTTTTAACTTCCTGGGGTCGCGTTCCAAAATATTTCAGACGTTACAAAGATAACTGTCAAAAGCTTAAAACAAAAAAAATAAACCATTACATGTCAATGAAATTCTGTATTTATCAAAAACTAGCGTTCGCCCGCGACTTTGTCCGCGTAGAATTAAAATAAAACAAAAGTGAGTAGCCTATGTGTTCTTCCAGACTATCCTCTACATCTACACCAAATTTCATCGAAATCCGTTCTGCCGTTTAGGCTACAAACTCTAACAAACATCCATTCATCTAAACTTTCGCATTTATAATATTAGTATGAAGTGTGATGTTTTACTACAGTTTATACTAAAAACCTTTCCGTTACATTGTAGCTACCGTTTACTTTTAACATTTAAAGGGTATTTACATCCTGTAAAACCACAAAATCGAGATGCTTAACGAGTCAAAAGTTTTCTGGCTTCAATAATTCAACAGCCGCGCAATGCTATTCACTTCTTAAATTATTCACCAAGAAAGTAAAAAGAAACGCATCCGCTTTCAAGGAAATCGACTGGAGTCGTTCCCGAGATTCCCTAAGAACAAGTGTCAGCCCCAACCCGTTTTGTAACACGTGTCGCAAACAAAAGAAACTCGCCAACTCACCCCCTCCACCCAATTAGGGCAACCATCTAAAAGCAATGAGCACAGGACAAAAGAAAAATACTTATGCTATTTTTAAATCTGTTAGATATTTAAACAAAACTTTTCTGAAGGATATTAAAGTAAAGTACTTTTAAAAGACTTAAATTACTAAACTTGAAAAGAACCAAGTTATTTCTAAACTTGACACATTTGTTACGAAATCCGACGAACGACAATAATAAGATGTTGACCCTACTCCCTCCGGAAAGTTGTAAAAGGATTGCGCAAGTTATTAGTCGTAAAGCATTTCGGACTAAGATGTATAGCCCGTAAACCGTAATTCGCAATGGTCGCGCCATAGCGGGGGACATTCGCAACAACTGTTGTTTGCTCAAATGTTTTAATTGTCCCTAATTCGTAAAACTTCCTTCATTGATTTATTGAACTTTTGTGTAAAGTGTTAGTTTTTTGTTTTGTAAAAACATCTGGTTGAAAGGGTGACAATGTAACGTAAGGAGGACCACTACGGTTCTATAAAGACAAAAGTATTTTTTTTTAATAACAGCATAAATTTATTAACACTGTTGAAAAATTATCTTTCCGTTAGTTCTAGTCGAGTTAACAAAATCAATTTCTTACAACGTAAAGATAATTTTGTGTAAAATAAATACGATATACAACATTTTTAATACAAAACATTAAATTGCCATTGTGTTCGTTGATTATAATGCGAGTTATAAAACCGGACTCCACCGGTTGTGCCTACGCGCACAATTTCTCCAATAAAATTTATGCAAAGCAGATTGCTCGTGAGGTCTAATGAGTCGAATTAAGATAGCGCAGTCGGCTTGCACAGCTCACTCTAA